GCATGCCAGGCCACTTAATTTTGATCTTGGTCCTAGATATGTGGGGACTTCCAGGATTCTTGTTTCCCTCCTTTTTTTTTTTTCTTGTAGGAGTTTTGACGTGTCAATAGTAAAAGGCAACACCTAACTGGTATGAAGGCTCTTCCGGCCCAAACACCCAGTTTATTAGAATCAGTGTCCTACTTCAGACTCCAGAGCCGTCGGCCGACTCCGGGGCAGCCCCAAGTTCCCGTGTTGCCATCGCCTCCATTTTGACCACAGGGATGGGAGCTGTGGTGTGTGTACCAGGGAGCCGAGGTTGGGGGGCTTTTAGTGAAGCAGTTTTTTTAGGGTTCAGAGGTCATTCTCTGTGCATGCAGGGAACCGGTGGTGGATGGGTTGAGGCTGTCCCCACAGCAGCTGAGGCAGTGCACATGCGACACCTCAGCGGGGCGGTTGGCAAACACCTTGCAGACACCCGACAACAGTCACTCCTGCCTTGATTCTAAGGCAGGAGCCCTTCTAGGGGGAAGGGGAGTCAGCAGCTTCCTCCCCTTCGTTTGGTAGAAGCCCCTGGAGTTCCGGCCGTTAGAGGGGTCCTGTTTAGGTTTCTGTGACATCCACTTTTACATGTTTTCGAGCTTTATGTAGATACATAGAGCTAGAAGGGACGCTGGAAATCAGAGGCCACGGAGCCCGTCAGAGCTGAAAGGAACTTCACTGAGGTCAGAGTTTCTCAATACAGCCCTGCTGGCGGTCCCACACTTCTGTTGGATCAGACTTGGTTGGGGCTGGGCTTAGCGTCTGCATTGCGTTTGCATTTTCCGGGTGCTCCTGGAGCTCCCTACGGTCTGAGAACCCCTGCTTTAGAGAACACCTGGGCTCCCCTTCATTGTTCAGCTGAGGAAACTAAGGTCCAGGGAGGGGATGTGAGGTGCTTATGTAGCACAAATATTTAGGGCAGAGCTAGGATTAGGACCAAGTGCAAATCTCCCGTGTCTCCTAGCTGTGCTGTACATAGCACCCATGTTGTGATTAAAAACAAGCCATGAAGTTTAGGTGTGTTGTTAATAAGCAGGCAAGACGTGTATAAACCCGAGGGCTCACCCAAGCTCAGAACCTGGCCCCAAGCTTCTCTAAGAAAAATACCTTGTGCTCAGTAGGGCAAATTTTGGCTCATCTGGGGTAATTTTTCTTGCTTTCTATCCTGGCTATCTCATGGAGTTGTTTGGTATTCTTCTGAGTCATGCTTTGGAGGATTTTTTTTGTTTGTTTGTTTTAAAGATTTTATTTAGTTACTTTTAGAGAGAGGGGAAGAGAAGGATGAAGAGAGGGAGCCACATCAATGTGTAAGAGATGTATGGATCTGTTGCCTCTCACACGCCCCCCACCTGGGGACCTGGCCCACAACCCAGGCGTGTGCCCCGACTAGGAATTGAACTGGTGACCTCTCAGTTTGCAGGCTGGTGCTCAATCCACTGAGCCACACCAGCCAGGGCCAATTCTTAGGGAACTGAAGAGACATCTAGTTATATTTTAAAACTTATTTAATTAAAAAGAATTTTTTTTTACTAGATTGTGGTGAAAAAGCCATAGAAAATAGAAAGGGCAATTTAATTCACTCTTTTGGGTGGTGCTTTTCAGTGAAAGTTGAAGCACTTGCTATTGACTGGGCTCTAACAATGGAGTAGAAACATTAGAAGGTAGTGTCTGCGTTCCTGGTCTAGACTGTGTTATAGGTGGGAGTTTCATTTTTGGTTTAAATTACTCATCCATGTAGAAGTGTTTAGTTGTCTGTTCTGTAAAACTGATGTGATTTATTAATAACGTAAAGCAGTGTTTTTCTAAACAAAAGCCCGCCAGAGTGGGAGGGGAGCCACTGCCTTTTAGACTTGAGGCCCATGAAGAGAAGCGTGGCTTTTCATTAAACGGATACATGGGGCATTCATTCCCGCGGAGCCGGGAGTGCAGGCCCCAGGACGGCAGGACGGGCAGCCCCCCGGCCGCCCGCAGCCCTCCTGTGCCCGCGGACAGACGCATGTCAGTCACCCCCAGGCTCAGCGCGCACCTGGGCCCCTTCCCTCCCTCTTCCTCCTGGGTCACCCTTCCTTTCATGCCCTTGTCCCCAGCTTTGCCCTCACTTCCTTGCTCTCGCCTCTGAGTTCTCTTATTTCCTGATGTGTCCTGGTTTCTCCTTTCGATTCCTCCCGCCTTGGTGAGGTGTTTTGTCAGGAAGCAGCTCGCAGGACAGTGGACGCGGGGTCCCACTCACAGCTCAGCCCCCTGGGCCTCCAGCCGTCTTCAGCTCAGCACTTACCTTCAAGGCCACCCCCTTTCCTGCTGCTACTCTGACACCCCACCCCTGCCTACAGGGACTGCATGCTTTTCTCCACTGACCCCAGGGTGGCACTTCTTCAGAGACCCAGGTCGAATGTTGGCCCTGGGAAGTAGTCTCTGCCATCACAGTCCCTGGGGCAAGCAAAGGGACTCCCTCCCTCTTCCTTTCCTTTTCTCTAGAGCTGAGTGCAGAATGCGTTCAGTGAGATGCATAAAACGCACAGCTCCCGGCAGGCCGGCCCCAGTCAGGCCTGCCAGGTTTGCGGGCCCTGGAAGGGTCCGAGGCGGAGGCCCAGCTAACCGCCGGCTGTGCGGGGACGGTGGGCCTGGCGTCTGTGAGAGCCGGTGGTGTGGGTGGACAGTGGCAGGGGATGGGCAGCGGGGGGTCCCAGAGAAGTTGAGTTCGACCAATTTGTACGTAGGTGTACACCCATTTACCACTACCCAGAAAAAGATAGAGTACGTTTCTCTTTCCTGAAAAGGCTCTTTCAAGACCTTCCCCAGTCCTTACCGTGTCCTCCTGGGTAGCCACCATTCCGACCCCAATCAACATCGTGCAACTTTGTCCTTCAGTTTCGATCCTTCGACCCTTTGGGTCATGAGTAGCGTAATCACATGCCTATTTAGGGAGGGAAACACACGTGTGCGTCGCCTTCTGGGCGTCCCTCTTGACTGTTGTCATAAAACCTCAGAGTGGCCCTGGGACGGGGTATTGCCACTTTCTGGGTAAGGGGCGTAAGGCCCGCAGAGGCTAAGAGAATCACCCCGGAATTGTCACTGATGGAGGTCAGAGTGAACTTGCACCCTGTCTCGGGGAGGCCTGTCCTGGCTGGAAGAGACTGTGCACTTCCCTATCTGCAGGACCTCCCAGGCTCAGGCAGTTCGGCTTCCCCTTTGTTCCATGCCGCCTTGAACTGTCATGGGTAAGACCCTTGGTGGCATGGGTCATGGTCGCTGTTTGGTCACCCCATTGTACCCAGTGCCTCAGTAGCAGGACGTTCGCCAGGAGGTGGTCGGGAGCGGGGGGGGGGCTTGCTAACTGCTCAGCTCCCTGGAGTGTTCAGATGGCATGAGGCTTTGGTGGTGGCCGGAGGTAACAGTGCCCCTGGGTAGCCAGCAGAGAGGCGCCGCCCCCCTGTCCCCCCACCCCCAAGACTTGCCGAGGCCCTGGTTCGAGCCTGGAGGGAGGGTGTCCAGTGAGTGGATAAAATGCCCTGGCGGCGTGTTAGGGGTGAGCACCAAGTAGCATAGGGTTTCTTGGTCCTTCTTGCTGCCTCCCTTGGTGCCTGTCTCCCAGCAGGAATTCGGTGTTGAATGTGCAGCCTGGACCCACTCCCTGCTCTTGGATGACCTGAGAGTTGAGCAGGCTAAAATAATGTGGCCGCCCCGAGCACGTGGGTATTCTAATCTGAGAGTGCCTGTTGGTTGGTGTCTCCAAGGACACAGCGACACCCTCGGCTCGCCTGTGTGCCGGAGGCCCGCTGGGCAGGGGCTCAGCGCGAGGGAAGCAGTGGGTGGGTTTGAAAGGGCTAAATTCCAGGGTCAGACACCTGGCGCACACAGGTACGGAAGCATGGCAAAGTTCTAGTGGTCCATCACCCAAAATACAAATCAGCCCTCGGCTTCCCTTGCTGGCGACCGAGTTTGTCACAGTGGGAATTACATGCTCCACAAGCTCCTAGAGTCCTGACTTTTGTTGTCTGTTCCCAGTTCAGAGATGCCTCCTTACGTAGGGATCACTGTCTTTCTTAATAGTTGATCCACTTGGAGGTGTGCAAGTGGCACAAATCCGCAGCCCCCTCCTCTGTGAAAGGACCATCCTGGGCTCAGGAAATGGTCAGGACCGAAAGCCTGGGGCCTCCCTGGCTTTGGTCGCCCTGCGTCTGCCTGGTGAGAAATGACATTGCCCGGTGAAGACTGGCCAGCCTTGTCATCTGAAACAGGATCTCTCTGTGGTACATCTGGAACTTGGCCTTCTCAAGGGTCCCAAAATAGCCAGGCCGCTGAAGGGAGGACTTCATGAGGGGACATGGAGGGACCCCAGCAGTCCCTCGCCAAGCAGGCTCTGCAGGCATCAGAGAGGCAGCACATTTAATCCCTGCATTTTGTTCTCATCCTGTGCTGCTGCTGCGTCCCTCGCGTCATCTCCCTTCTTTGCAGTTAGTTCTGAGAATACTCCGGCTGCGGCAGCCTGTCCCTGCCGCCCCTTCTCTGCAAGGATCTCCAGGCTGCAGCCTGCGTTTGGGTGCAGCACCCCGCTGGTTTTTTAGGAAATGGGAGGACCTTTGAGGACGCAGAGAGCTGGAATTGAATCCTCCTCGCACCTCCCGATCTGGGTCCCTGAAGGTTTGGGAGACAGCGACTCTCCCACACACTGCACTGCCCAGTCGTCACCCAGAAAAGAAACGCGTCTTACTGGTGTGGGAAATGGAGCAGATACCTTGGCTCATCTGATTTCCCTTGATGCCTCTAATTCTTAAACTGCGGGCCAGATAGCAGCCTCTGTGTGTGTGTTGGGGGCGGGGGGGGGGGGGGCGGTGCTCCCTGTGCTCAGCCACGCTGGCCTATGCTGGGGGGCCCAGGATCATTCTAGAAGGTGGGAATATTCAGCACCATGCTTTTTCATCTTCAGAGATGTTTCCTTCCCAGTTTTTAACCCGTCTGTGTTTCCGACTTTGTTTTAGGAAACACCGTCCTCTGCAAATGGCCCTTCCCGGGAGGGCTCCAGGCCGCTGCCCACTAGGGAAGGCCACGCCGTGTACCCCCAGCTCCGACCAGGCTACATTCCCATTCCTGTCCTCCATGAAGGCACCGAGAGCCGGCAGCCGCACCCGTTCTTTGCCACTCCTCAGCCCGGGATGCAGCGCTTCCGGACCGAGGCAGCCCAGAGGCCCCAGTCACCTCTGCAGGGTGTGGCGGAAACCGCCCAGCCAGATAAACAGAGTGGACAGGCGGTGGCAGCTGTGGCAGCCCAGCCCCCAGCTTCCCACAAACCTGAGGTAAGGAGCGGCTTGGCTCTTGGGCCTGTGGGTGCGACCTGGGAGCTGGCGTGCTGCTAAGGCTGGCCCCAGACTCTGCCAGTGCCTGGGCCGGGCCCCTGGTGAAATGCGGGGCATCTGGGCCTGGCCTGCAGCATCAGAGGTCACCCAGCAAAGACAGCTTGACAGCCCGCATTGTCCACCAGCGTTTCACAGGTGCATTTTTCAGACGGGCAGGGATCACGGCTGCTTTCTGTAGTTAAGGGATTGCAGCTCAGAAGGACAAAGAGCTTGGTCCAGATTCATGAAGGGGAAGCGTCATCGCTGGGACAATAACCTGGCCTTCTGGCTCCTAATCTGATGCTCCTTACTTTCACTGGGCTTTCTCGCTCAGAAACACAGAGATGCTGTGCGGTAGTTTGCTAAGTTCGGTGTTTGCAGATAAGCGTGAGCAGCTTGGAGCTACACTGATGTGAAAACAAGACAGCATAGCTGCCCTCACAGTGTCCCACAGCTTAAATGGAACTCCAAAATAAGGCATCAGGAAGGCAGCTGCTTTATGATAGGGTTTTAAGCCTGAAGCCAATACTTCAGTGCACAAATGTCTGAAGAATAATTGTTGATCCAGTTCTTAGCCGAGGTTGGAGGGCCAGTGGACCCGTCGGTTCCTCGGCGGTAAGGTCATTGGTTTTCCTGTCTGCAGACCAGTGCGTTGTGTCTGCAGGCACAGCTCTGGAGCAGAGATCCTCGTTCCCTGTCTGCACCCAGGCCTGGGACGCCTCCCCGGCCCTCTTCGGGATGCCTGGCCTCACTGCTTGGGGGCAAAAAGTCACAGAGACTGTGGCATGCTGGGAGGCTCTTGGCCTTTTTTATAGAAGCAGTACCTATACTTACAGTGTTTTTTGTTGTAAAAATCAAATGTGACACATCAGCCAGAAACATCTGAGCACATTTGAGGTGGCAGGACTCCTAGAAGCCAGCTGGAAAAAGGGTCTGGCCTTCCTTGGGCGGCCAGGGGACACAGCGCCCTGTGCCCAGCTGAGTTCTGTGTGGATTAGCTGGGAAAGGGTTAAGGAAAAAGGAAATGAAGTGACATGTAATAACAAGTACAGTGCGTTGAGCACTTGTTGTTTGTGGTGGTTGGGCTGAGACACAGACAGATTATTTCATCTTCTCGCCAGCCCAGTGAGGGAAAGGGCTCCCTTTCCTGCATCGTAGACGCGGCTCGGGAAGCTATTGAGCTGGCAAGAGTTTGAACCCAGGCCTCGCGGCTGCAGAGCTCCCAGTCCAGCCACTACAGTTTGACACTGAGAGGCGTACAGGTGGGAGGTCCTGCTAACCTGTTGTCCTGATTAGGCACATGACAGAGACAGGGTCGGAGGGCCAGGCAGAGGGTCCTTCCTGGAGCCACACCTCTACCCTCCTTGTCTTGCAGCGATCCCAGTCTCCAGCCGCCTCGGACTGCTCGTCCTCGTCCTCCTCGGCCAGCCTGCCCTCCTCCTCCAGCAGGAGCAGCCTGGGCAGCCACCAGCTGCCCCGGGGCTACATCCCCATCCCTGTGATTCACGAGCAGAACGTCGGCCGGCCGGCGGCCCAGCCCTCCTTCCACCAAGCCCAGAAGACCCACTACCCAGCTCAGCAGGGCGAGTACCAGGCCCACCAGCCCGTGTTCCACAAGGTCCAGGGGGATGACTGGGAGCCCCGGCCTGTGCGGGCAGCATCCCCGTTCCTGTCACCTGTCCGGGGTGCGTCCAGCCGGGACAGCTCTCCGGGCAGAAGCAGCACACCAGGGCACTCCCCGTTGCTCCAGCGTGTGCACACCGTGCTCGATAGGCCTCAGGTATGAGAGTTGGTGTCACCAGACTGACTACAACAGCGTTTCTTTAGGGGCGGGTGCTCTGGGTCCCCCATCCGCCCTCCCTAGATTGTTACAAACACGTAACAGAAGGAAAGTGATTCCTGGAAATGGCTGGTCCTCAACAAAAGTGCAGGGCCGGGGCTGGCTGTAAGCCCTCCGTGCTCTCCACAGCCTTTGCTCATTTTTCAGTGCAGCTGCATTGGGGCAGGCTCCACCCACCACGATGGGGAATGGCTGGGCCCACATGACTCTGTGCCCACCTTCCTGGGCCCTCCAAACCCCCTCCACACCCCAGCCGCAGCCTCGTCTCCAGTCTTGCAGGAAGTTTGCCTCCCTCCTCCCCGGTACTCCTCCATGCTAGGAGCACATTCTGTCATGCCCACCTCCGTGCCTTTGTTCACGCTGAACCCACTCCCCGAGAAGCCTTCACAGTCCAGGTTCTGCCCGTCCTGCAGGAACCAACCAGTCTTGCCTCTGTGGAGCCCGCTCACCTTTCTCACGGCTCCTCGTGAGTTCCTAACATTCAGCTCACGATTACTCTGTGCGCTTCAGAGGTGTTCATTTTCCCTCTTCCGCTTGGCTCTGAGCTTGAGAACAGGGACCATACCTCACAGCCGCATGGCCTGGCTGATGAGTCGGCCGTCTGAGTGGATGGGTATGCCTTCCATGGATGATGGTAGTCCCAGGCAGGGGCCTGCTGAATTAGTCTCCTGCCACGGTCTTTAGAAGGAAGTACCCCCGTAAGCACATGCAAAGTATCTTTATACTACTGATAGTGACACTGTGCAGAGCCCGGTAACAGAGCATCGTAGCTTTTTATTTTGGCTTTTGGTTTATAAATTAATTTCAGCCTCACTGAGGAGTTTTTAAGAATCATACAAAAAAAGTCCACTATACCCATATTTATTGTTAATGTTTTGCTACGTCTCCTTTGTCATCACTTCTCTCTATATTCCTTTTTGTATTTCAGTTGTTTGAGATTTAGTGGTAGATATCATGCCCCTTTACCCTTCACTACTTCTGTAAATATTTCCCAAGTGAAAGACTTTCTCGTTCATATCCACAATACATTTATAAGAATCAGGAAATTTAACATTGTTACAACATTGTTATCTAATACACAATCCATCTTCAAATGTCCTCTGTAGCCATTTCCCCGGTTTCCGGATCTAATCTCGGGTCATGAACCCTGCGCCGAGCCGTCATTTCTCTTTAGTCTCCTGCAGTCTGAAACAGGTCCTCTGCGGCCTTACTTAGCCTTCATGACCTTGACACTTTCGAAGAGTATAGTCATAAAGCAGACTCTGCTTAAGTGTCACTAAAAGCACTTCTGACCTAGCCATTTTATAGGCCAGAGAGGGCCATGCGGCTGGTCCATGAGTGGTCAGGGCCAAAGCTGAGGATGACAGGGTGGGCGGAAGAAATCTGGTGGAAAAGGAGGTCACTGGCATTCAGACAGCGAAGTGCTCGCCGGGTCCTTACCTGAGCTCAGCAGTCCTGGGCGAGAGGTGCCCGTCTGCAGAGCTAGCACTTTTTTGCGTACTGTCTTTCCCATAAACAGTGAAATAATATTGAATCCTCTTTCCACTTCCGTCCACCTTGTCTGTGAGTGATGGCCTTCCTTTTAAAGCTTGGTCAAAGATCCCTTTTTGGATGCTTGCGAGGATTTGAGCATTATAACCGGACAGTATCGTGGAATTTGGTATTTAAATTGGTACTACTTCAGAAATGATGCAGCCCAATTCTTATTTCCTAATTCATGAAATTGGGGTATGTGTGATTTTTTAAAGGGGTTTAGATACTCACCTAAATGTAGAAGAGCCAAGATATTTTGGTTTTAAGCATAGCTCATTTTAACAAATATGGCTCTGACTTAGAGCCGCATTAAGTGAGAGAGGAGCCCCGCCTGATGCACAGCCGCGTATCAGCTCTGGCGTAGATGTGTCAGCAGAATGCTTACAGGGTTAACTGTTTTAGGCCTCTTGCTCGTTCTTGAAAAATACATCTGTCTGGGCAGAAACCACGAGGCTGTCATAGGTTTAAAAAAAAAGTCCCAACTTTTCTGAAACAGGACATGGGAAGGTCACACCCTGAGCACAGAGGCTGTCCATGCAGCGTGAGGAAGGGACAAGCGGCCGGTACTCCTCTGCAGATGCATCACCTGAGAGCCCTAGTCACTCGGGACTCTGCCTTGGGTTAAACTGGCTCAGCTGTCACCATGAGTTTTTGGTTTTTCCATTTTTGAAAATTATTTTGGTTTTCTTTTTCTTTTTATTGCACCAAGAATCCAGTGAGAGGTGTTGGTAGAAGACTAATAGACCACCATGATGGCAGAAGTGTGACAGATGGTTTGGTCACACGCTTTAGTACATTTTTATTTTGTAACAGCTCTTACTGACTTTGAAAATCTCTGTACTGGTAAACTTTTTTTTTTTTAAACCATTTCTCAGTTTTCTTTCTCATGAGTACTATAGCTATAAACAATAGCCTGTGACTCTCAGCCAGTTATTAAAAATATCCCTGTGTCCTTGCCTCTTCTCAGCAGCCCATGACCCATCGAGAATCTTCGCTTGGTCCCCAGCCTGAAAGTAAACCAGGCCCAGCTGGACCAGATCTGCTTCCTGGACACATCCCGATTCAAGTGATCCGGAAGGAGGTGGATGCTCAACCTGTTTCCCAGAAGCCCCCGCCTGCCTCCGAGAAGGTGGAAGTAAAGGTCCCCTCTGCTCCAGTTCCCAGCCCCTCTCCCAGCCCTTCCCCTTCTGCTGCCCCCTCGGCCCCCAAGAATGTGGCTGCAGAAGAGAGGGCAGCCCCCAGCCCTGCCCCAGCAGAAGCCACACCCCCAAAGCCAGGAGAAGCTGAGGCACCCCCAAAACATCCTGGTGTGCTGAAAGTGGAAGCCATCCTGGAGAAGGTGCAAGGGCTGGAACAGGCTGTGAACAACTTTGAAGGTAAGAAGACAGACAAAAAATACCTGATGATAGAAGAGTATTTGACCAAAGAGCTACTGGCCCTGGATTCGGTGGACCCTGAAGGACGAGCTGATGTCCGTCAGGCCAGGAGAGATGGCGTCAGGAAAGTTCAGACCATCCTGGAAAAACTTGAACAGAAAGCAATAGATGTCCCAGGTCAAGTCCAGGTTTACGAACTGCAGCCCAGCTCCCTTGAAAGCGATCAGCCACTGCAGGAAATCATGGGTGCCGTGGCCGCAGACGAGAGTAAGAAAAGTGCCGGAAACAGAGAAGATCCCAAAACTGACACTCAGCAGCCAGAAGCCAAGGCAGCAGCCGCTCCAAACCCCAGCAGCACGACAGACTCAGCTGGTGAGCCAGCAGCACCACAGTCTCAATGAAAAGCCGGCTCAGAGCCTGGGAACTGATTGTGTGCGTTAGGGAATTCTAAATTGCATGCATTTCAGGGACTTTAAATCAGTTGGTTTTTACTCTTCATAGCCGCTTGGTATGCAGTAACCTGGGTGGAGGCAAAACAGTAAAAGGGCTAAAAGGAAAATGATGCTTTTCTTCAGTATCCTTATTCTGTACAATAAAGTTGCTTGTTTTAAAAGTTTAACAACATTGCTTGTTGTTCGGGGCCCTCTCTCTGCGTGGACGCCACATGTTAGCCATGGTTGTGAGCTGTCTCCCTATAGCTCTGGACTGGAGGTTTTGGGGGATAGAGGAGGAGTCAACTTCCCATCACATAAATATGAAACCCATTTTCCAGAGATGTTGCCATTTTAATGAGATGATTTTCTTCATCTCAGAGCTAAAATACCTAACTTTAGATAGAATAAAATATGTAAGGAGCCACAAAAATATATGTATGTTGGATGACTTTACTGCTACATTTTGAAAAAGGAAAATAAAGTAATAATATGACTCAGAGTTTTTTGTGGTTTGTAAAACTTTGAAGAGAATGGCAGCGTCAAGATGGTCTCTCTCTGGCTTCAGTAAAGGTAAACGGCAGGCGTGTTTACAAGTCTGCTCTGGGATGCATACCTTTTCTACTGGCCCAGCTCATGAGAAAATGAGTCCTGGTCATTTTTAAAATATATTTTATTGATTATCCTATTATAGTCCCAGTTAACCCCCTTTGCCCCGCTCCGCTGGTATCCCCCATTCCCTCCGGCAGTGCCCCCGCTTAGTTCATGTCTACGGGTCGTGCAAATAAGTTCTTTGGCTTCTCCATTTCCTATACTGTTCTTAACGTCCCTGTCTGTTCTGTACGTATTTGTACTTCTTAATCCCTGCACCTTTTCTCCTAGTCTTCCCCTTCCCCCTTCCAACTGGTAGCCCTCCAAATGATCTCCGTACCCATGATTCTCTTCCTATCCTGGCTGTTTGCTTAGTTTGTTTTTTAGATTCAATTGTTGATAGTTGTGACCTTATTGCCATTTTAATGTTCATAGTTTTGATCTCTTTCTTAAATAAGTCCCTTTAATATTTCATGTGATGATGAACTCCTTTAGCTTTACCTTGTCTAGGAAGCACTCTATCTGCCCTTCCATTCTAAATGCTATCTTTGCTGGATAGAGGAATCTTGGGTGTAGGTCCTCACTTTTCGTCACTTTGAATACTCCTTGCCAGTCCCTTCTAACCTGCAAAGTTTCTTTTGAGAAATCAGCTGACACTTTTATGGGAACTCCTTTGTAGGTAACTATGTGCTTTTTTCTTGCTGCTTTTAAATTCTCCATCTTTAACCTTTGGTATTTTAATTATGTATCTTGGTGTGATTTTCTTTGTGACCACCCTCATTGGGACTCTGTGCTTCCTGGGCTTGTACGTCTATTTCAGTCACCAAATTAGAGAAGTTTACTTTCATTACTTTTTTCAAATAAGTTTTTAATTTGTTGCTCTGTGTCTCTCCTTCTAGCACCCTTTGAATGTTGGTATGTTTGAAGTTGTCCATGAGGCTTCTTAACCCTATCTTCATTTTTTTTGGATTCTTTTTTCTTGCTGTTCTTACTGAGTGTTTTCTTCATTATGTTCCAAATCATTCATGTGATTGTTGGTTTCATCCCCTCCCCTGTTGATTCCCTGTAGATTTTTCTTTATTTCACTTTGTGTAACCTTCATTTCTGCCTGGGTCTTTTTTATGCTGTTGAAGTACTCAGTTGAGTTCCTTGAGTATCCTAATAACCAGTGTTTTGAACTCTGCATCTGACAGATTGCTTATCTCCATTTTGTTCTTTTTTCTGGAGTTTTGTTCTGTTCGTTCATTTGGGTCATTTTTGTCTCCTCATTTTGGCAGCCTCCCTGTGTGTGTTTCTGTGTGTTAGGTAGAGCTGCTTTGACTGCTGTATGAGCAGCAGGGCCTATTGTAGAAAAGCAACTCATAAGTTAGATGGGGCAGAGCCTTAGGTAACCGCCGGGGCGGGGCAGCCTGAGTGAACCAGGTTGATGGCGTCTCAGATATGGTGTGGCTCTGTGTGGGGGAGGGCTCAGGAAAGGGACAATGGTGGTTGCCTGGCCTGTGGAGTTTTGTCCAGGAGGAGCCTGTCCCCTGGCACTCACCCTGATGCCAGACACTTCAGTTTTTCCCGTATGCCACTCGTGTCCTTCCAGCTGTTGCCCTGCTGCTGGTGTCCAGAGTGAAGTGTAAGTCCTAAGTCCATTGTGGGCCCTTTAAGAGGAGATGCCTGAGAATCCCACAGTTTCTTTCGCTGCCCCAACCCCCACTGGTTATTACAGCCAGAAGTTACGGGGACTTACCTTCCTGTCACTGGACCCCGGGGCTGGGTGCCTGGTGTGGGGCTGGGATCCCTCGTTCCCAAGGTAACCCTCCTGATTTTTATCCACCACACGTGGGTGTGGGACCACCCATTCCATGTCTCCTTGTCTCCACCCCTCCTACCCATCTGGATGAATGTGACTTCTTTAATTCCCTGGTTGTCAGACTTCGATACAGCTCACCTTTCTGGCAGTTCCGGGTGAGAGTTGTTCTGTAGTTGTAGTTTTTGCTGTGATTATGGGAGATGAGCTGTGTTTACCTTCACCTCCATCTTGACAGGGGGGTCTTGGTCCTTTTTCATTTTCCTATTCCACTGCATCTTGGGCCCACGCAGGATTGCAAACTCAGGTAGTGGGGCTGTGGGTACCAGACCTCTTCAGGCTGCCCCAGCCAAGGTGCGACCTGGGCAGCGTCTCTGCTCACTTGGCCTCAGGCCACCTGCAAGTCTCAACCAAGTTGCTGAGGTGGTTGCAGATGTGCACGGGGAGACCAGTGCCCAGTACTGCCCAAGGCTGGCCGCAGTGTTCCTTGGAGTCCAGGTCACGGGGGGTTGGGAATGTGATCTCTCAGAGTCTTGGGGTCATCTTTATCTGACACTTCTCTGAGTCACCAAACCAGTTCGGAACCAGTTTTATTTTCCCAGATTGGATTCCTAGAAGCTACTGAAGTTAAGGATCAGGTGGCACTTAGAAGTCACTGATTGAAAGATCGTACTCTGTGCCAGTGTCTTCTAAAAGCTTGGGAAGGACCACAGCCCCAGAGTGCGGAGATGTGCTAGATTTTTTCTTAACTGCTTACCATGTAAACCTGAAAATGAGAAGGGAGAGAAAGAAAGCCTGAGATACTGGAACTTCCGGGGAGCACGCTGAGCTGAATTCCTCATAACTGGATTGAGTTTAATATTGGTGCCTGACTGACGAAGCTGCACAGAAGTACATACCGGTGTACTTGCCACTCTTAGCTTGCTGAGAAAGGGTGAAGCTATTCCCATGGGAATGTGCCAGCATCATTCCTGGGTGAACTCATTGTTGGGGGACGAAAGCCGACTGCTGAAGACACACGCTGCTCGTTCCAGAAACTCAACCATGTAAACAGTGGGGGAAGGCCTGCTGGACTGTTTCTAAAATGAATCAATGTGACCATTTCTTTTTCTGACTTGGGCATCTCTTCTCAATGGACCTCAGCAGTAAGGATTCTTGAGTGGTTACTGAATTAGGTTGATGTTATTTTCGTCTCTAAACGTCATGAGTAGGTAGCCCTGTAGTGGAGTTAGAATAGTTTTAATCCAAATTAGATGGTACATGGATTTCTGGGCCGGTGTTGGTGGACCCTGGACCTTGCATGGTGGCAACAGGCAGCTGGAGGGCTGGCTGGGGGCCCTTACAAACACAGCTTGCCCCTGTATGAGTCGGGGGACTGATACCCGCTGAGGGTCTCCTACCATCAGGGTTTTGGCTGATTTAATCATCCCCATGCCCCTTAGGAAAACACAGTTCAGAACAAAGACTTGAATCAGAACTGCTGGCTTCAAGTCACAGCTTCATGGAACAGCTCTAGGACAAGGGAAAAGGCATGGCCTGTTCCTTCCTGGTTCCTTCAGTTGTAAAATCGGTACAATGGGGCAGGGGGCGGGGGTGAGCAATAATTGAATGAATTCAGACAAATGAAACTTGGACACAAGAGCCTGGCACATGGCAAGCGTTGGCTGTTAACATCCTCGTGTATGGGGTGAGGAAACAGGAAGTGCTGTGCTCACGCCTACAGAGCCAGGAGCAGAGGCGGCATTTGAATCCAGGCCCACGACACATCAAAGGCCTTGTTGGTCTCACCGGTTTTAGCTCCAACTGGGCTGAGGTGTCCAAAAGGGAAAGGGCTATCTCAGAACCACTCACCTCTTCTAGGTCAGGGCATTTGTTTGTTTTATATAATGTGTCCAAATTCTATGAGGTCATTCGTGTCTCCCAGATAAAGCAGGCGATTTGGAACTGGTAAGTAATGGCACCTACACTGAAAGTCACTTGCGGCCTTAACTCCAGCCACCAGATCCCTGGGTTTGGTGTCCAAGGCTTTCTAGCACCTTCGTCCTTCTCCATGTCGGTGTCCCTCCCCGGGCCCCTTCCCGCCTTTGATGTCTGCACTTGTGCACTCTGTCCCTTTTTCCAGACCTGGCCCAGCTTTTTGTGATACCTCCCCTGCTTGGACAGTCTCCTCCTCAGACTTGACTTTCCCCAAACCCCCACCAGCCTTTGGTCTACTTGCCAGGGTCCAACTGTTCTCCAGTTGTAACATCTTATTTCCTAAACAAGACTGGAAATACGCTGAGGGCACGTCCACTCTGACACCTCCTTGTTCCCATACTGTCCACACCTGGGCACATAGGCACCCTGGACGGCTAGGAGGCCCTTTAAGTTCGCTTGACTTGAGATCTTAATGATCCCCAGGCTAAATTCACATTTATTGAGAAACAAATATCAATATTAGCCAATAAGACTCGAGGGCCAGCTCTCCCACCAGCTCTTTCTTGTAATCCCAAGACAGTTACGTTTGGGCCAGCTGTTTCCTCTTTCTGGGCCTTTTTCTCCCCACCTGTGAGAGGTGGGCATTGACCACGACCCCCTGCGGTGGCCTGGATGATTCTGGTGAGTCCCTGTTGAATTCTGATGAATCTGGTGATTCCTGTTGTGGTCCCTGTGTTCTCTTTCAGTTCCCTGCCCAGCCAGGCAGCAAGGTCTCCGGGGCTGTGCATTCCTGCGACTCCCATGTGAGTGTGGCCGCTTTGCCCACTGTTCTGTAACACTATACAAATGTAATCATATGCCAAGGGACAGGATCCAGGGTTGCAGTTATTTTGGGCTGTGCAGGAGCCTGTGGGAAAATGCTGGAACATGTCTGAGTCACTCAGGCAAATACCTTTCTTTTCATGTTCCAGCATGTTTTCAACTTTGAGGCGGCACAGAAAAAAGCTCAGGCAGGCGCACACGCCTGCTGTGTCTCGGCGTGCCAGTCCTGAGCAGCACTCCCTGTTTCTGGGCCGTGCCTCCACATCCTCTGAGCTCTGCGAAGGGGCGACAGCCAGGGCTGGATT